ACTGGGAGCTTTATGGTCCCAGGTAGACTCCCATTATATTCTAATGGGACCTCATATGAAAAAAAATCACACGTATGGCATGAAACTGTGGGTGGGGGCTGCATCTGGTTGAATGGGAGTCCATAGAAAGGAAGCAAAGTCAGAAGGGGGCCATGGTCATAGATAGGTTCAGAAGCACTGCACTAAATGTTTTGATAGTCTTCTTCATTTAAAAGGTTTATAGTAAGGTTTGTTTGTTTTCTGTTATCGTGGTTTTAATTCACCATCTTTTTCAATCTTTTGGTGATCCTCCTCATGCTTTTAGGAAGTTTACAAAGTCAAAAGTTTAGAAGCAAAACAAAAAAGGGACAAGAGGGGATAGGGATGAACTGGGTTTAATCCTCGACACCTCATCTGGTCCCCTGAGTTCAACTAGGAGTGATTCCTGAACACTGTTGTATTTGTTGTATCCCCCAAATCAAAACCAAAAAAGTCCAGAAGTTTACATTAAAACTGACATGTTTGCCTTTTTAATGAAGTGGCATTGGCTCCAAAGGTGAAGCAGGAGCAGCAGTAGGTAAATCACTGAAACATTTACTTGAGTCTAGGTGGTGACACCCAACTATAAGCATCCTTACCGGGCTTCCCTGCCAGACACTGTTAAGTGTTGGGTCATAGGTAGGAATCAGTTTCACTTAATATTCTTGGTGAAGCAACAAAATGTCTTAATTTTTAAAATTTCCACCTTGGAGTGTCTTTTCAGTGTGATTAAATGTGAGTATTACATTTATTAGCGCCCCCCCCCAAAAAAAAAGTTTTGGTGGAGGAATCAGGACACTCCAGGCAGCACTTGGTTTGGTGGTGGTGCAATCTGATGGTTCCTTGTTCAGTTGGCAGTGCTTTCTCAGACAGAAGTCCCCAGTGCCCTTGCAGTGGTGCTCACTGCCATCAGACTACACCCTGTGATGCTAGGGTGGGGTGGGGGAAGGGCTCTGCCACTTGAGCTAGACATAGTTCTTTAGTTACTTGCTGCCAGTTTTTTAAAAAATAATTTATTTTGTGAAATTACTGCTTTCATTTTTGAAGGTTGACATATAAATAATAGTTACTCAGATTTGGGTATTTGGCAGATATTTACTTGACAATGACTGATTAAAGTCTACCATTTTAGGAAGAAATGATTTGTTGTTAATGATAAAATCTGATCTTTGAAGTGAAAATTTCGATTTTGGAAAACATGCATCTGCTTCTACAGCCTTGTCACCATCTCAATGTTTAAAAGATATTTCTGATGAGATTGGTGGTGATACTAAGGAATGTGATTGAAATATAAACACTTTGAATAAATCTCCTATATGTGCATCACATATTGGTCATTTAGAAAAGATATTGATTGAGGAAGTAATACAAATCTTCCAAATGTTGGCAAATTTACTTGCTTTATATAAACAAATAATATATACATAACATTATTTGCTTAACATATAAAATACATGAATATGCATGGGTAGGTGATTCCTGAAATAGACACCATGGGATTTTTATATAACAGAGCCAGAAAGTTTACTAATACTCTTTCAGATTCCACATTGAAGATAACCTTTAAGAAGTGCCATTTGTTGAATTTTGGTATTGAATAAAAGATGAATAGCTGCTATTTAAAATGGCTATTAAAATATGCTTCTCACTTTCAATTATTTATCTGTGTGAGGCGCATTTTCTTCATATGCTTTAACCAAAACACTATATGGCAACTAATTGAATGCAGAATTAGATAACGAGAATCCAACAATTTGTTTTTAAGCTATATGTTAAAGACACTTGGAAAAATAGGAAATGGTGTTACTCTGCATACTGAGTTCTTTGGTTTGGAAAATAATCACATTTCACAGAACATTACATTAACTCAATGGGTTTATTGCTTTAAATGAATACAATTAAATAAGTATTTTAACTTGGTGTGTGGGGAGGTGTCTTCCGGTCAGTGCTCAGGAGGCCTGGGGACCTCGCTCAGTTATTCTTAGCCAGGGTTGGTGAGGGTTTAATGTAAGGAGGCCTGCTGGAGTTCCGATGCTGGGGGAACATGGAGCGATGAGGATGGAACATCATGCCATTTGCCACAACCTGAATGGAATGGAAGGATATCATGCAAAGTGAAATGAGTATGAAGAAAAAGGTAAATACTAGATAGTCTCTCAAGCATGGAATATTGAAAAAGCAAGACATTAGATTTTTCCTGGTGAAAACAGACCCAGAGATAACTGCCAGCAGAAAAGCCAGTGGGCTGCAGAAGTCCAAGTAGGGTGAGGGGAGGGACATTGGGACAGTAATGGAGGATTAGTGACTCCCTGGTGGTAAGGATCCCGTAGTCTAAGTCAATACTGAGGAAACTTATAAATCTTGTTATTGTGATAAAAATTTTAAAAATAAAATGTGAAGATGTAACTCATGTAAACAGTGGCTATTTAGAATTTACAACAATTAAGATAGCCCTAGTGGTAGAGCACATAATTCACGTGTATGTGAATAAGTCCCTGAATTTGAACCCTAGATCCATATGCCTGCTTTCTAGCATAATTGGTGTATTACCTGTGAAAAAAAATACTGAGGATATAAATAATGAAAGTTGGACATGTTATTTTTTTAAAGTTAAATTTAAATTTAATTTTAAATTTGTACTATTTTTCCCGGGCTGGAGCGATTGCACAGCACGAAGGGTGTTTGCCTTGCACGTGGCTGACCCACGTTCGATTCCTCTGTCCCTCTCGGAGAGCCTGGCAAGCTACTGAGAGTATCCCACCTGCACGGCAGAGCCTGTGGCAAGCTACCCATAACATTCAATATGCCAAAAACAGTAACAACAAGTCTCACAATGGAGACGTTACTGGTGCCTACTCAAGCAAATTGATGAACAACGGGAGGACAGTCCTACAGTACTACTATTTTTCCTACTCTTTTTTTCTTGTTACTGTTGTGATTGGGGATCATACACACCTGGTCCTCATACACTTGATTGCTGTGCCTGTACACACGCTTTCCAGGGGTTGCATATATTTTAGTTGTGGTGATCGCAAACATTGATCACAGTGCGTACTGGGGATTGCACATGCCTGGTTGTCCTCTGGCAGATATTGACCACTCTGTTGTGGTAGCAGGGACCCCAAGTTACAGTGCCTACTTAATATAATTAATATAATATAATGCAACTACTGAGGGATTGCGCTCAGGCATGTGGAGAGATGCTGGGGAATCTGGAGTTCCCACTTGTAGCCTCTAACTTTTAAGGTAGATACTCTATCACTGACTATGCCCCTGACAAGCTTTTATTTATTTATTTATTTATTTATTTATTTATTGGGTGAGGGGAGAGTCGGGCCACACCTGGAGATGCTTAGGGGCTATTCCTGGCTTTGCACTCAGGAGTGATCCCTGGTGGTCTTTGGGAAGAGCATGTATGGTGTTCGTATGGTGCCGGTGATTGAACCAGAGACAACTGCATGCCGAACAAGCATTTTACCCCTCTGTACTCTCTCCAGCATGGAAAGCTATTTTAAGTGGTTATTATATGTATTATGACTAGATTACTGATTGGTTCCACTGGTTATATGGCTTGTATTATATCTGTCCTGTTGCTGATAATGTTATTAATTGAATTTTTCATTTGCTTGTTTTCTACTGAGGGAATCTGTAGCAGTCAACCTTCAGTAATAAGTAAGGGGAGGGGGAGGGGGGTTTATTGGCTTGATCTGGAAATAATAAAGCTGGTCTCAGAGGCTATATCTAGAGTCACAGTTATCACTGAGACGCTTCTTGCATTCTTTTCTGTTAATTTAAGTCTCTTTTATTGTATAAATTATATTAAGTATGCAACCTAACTGGTTTCAAGTCCAGCAGAAAGAGATATCCTTTGCCTTTTATAATTTCATAGGAATTCTTGGAACTGTGTTGCTCTCTTAATGTGGGTTTTCTTCCATCTTTGAAACACCCCACATGGCTAGAAGATGACTCTGGGTAGTCAGGCTAGGAATTGTACCAACTACCCCAATGGGAAGATTCTTCCTTCAGAGTACTGTTACAGAAGGGGAAGTATGTGCTGACAGCCCAGATGCTTTTGAAGAACTATTAACCCATAAAAATATTATTTCTTTTTGGGGAGAGCCTCCTGATCATGTCCAAGGAACCTGGGGCTCACTCTGGGTGATTCTTACCATGTCAGCCAGTGCATCAGTGCAAGGACTTGAGGTGATGAGGATTTCCCTGTGCACCTACCAAGGCCATACAGGACGGTGCTTGAGGGCCTCTTCGACTATGCTCGGAGATGCTTGGGAAATCTATGGAGTCAGGCATTGACTGGAATCAGCAAGACTTGCTTCTTAACTACTGTATTTTCTCTTCAGCCCTTGAAAGTTAATTTTTAAAATAAGATTATATAAGATGAAGTGGGGGTACTGCTAGTATGAGCATAATCTGATGCCTTTTGGTACACAAGAAGCATACGTATAAATTTGTCCCTTGTGATTTATCTTAAAAGTTATTGGATACTTGGTCTTTGGGTTCATGTTCTCCCTTGAACATGTATCTCGCTTGTTTCTATGTTTCTTTGCTCATTTTTACTCTGAAGAAGCCTGTATTCTCCCTTGAACTCACATTTTCCCCTTTTCTCCTTTTTCACATCTGTCTAAATAAGTTTCGTTCAATAAAAGCTACCTTGCTTCACTTTAAAAAAAAAAAAAGTTCTCGGAAGCTTGAGAGAGCTCAGTGGGCTGGAGCACCTGCTTTGCCTGCCATAAGTCAGGTTCTGTTGTCAGTACGTGTTTCCTGAGCACTGTGGAGACAGCCCCTAAGCGTGAAGTTTTAGAGTAGCTCCTGAACCTCAGAGGCTGTTCTTTTGCTGCTGGCAGTTGAACTGAGCCTGTGTATCCCTTCTCTTCCTGCTTCTATAATGTATGTTTGAATTTCTTCCTAGAGAGTGAGCAGAGTAATCAATGTAGGATGAAAATTCATGCATAATTTACCCTTACGCGAAGTTTTCCCCATATTAGAAGCATCTAATTCTTCAGGTTATAAACTACCAAAGACAGGTATAAGGTAGTTTATCTACAACTGAAAGGAAAATAATCTGTATACCTTAAGGATATACAGATATATCTTAAAGATAAACAGATATATATAGGGCTGGAGCGATAGTACAGCAGGTAGAGCGTTTGCCTTGCATGTGGCGACTCGGGTTTGATTCCTCCTTTCCTCTCGGAAACGTCTCACAATAGAGATGTTACTGGTGTCTGCTCTAGCAAATCACTGAACAGCACAAGGACAGCGCTGCAGTGCTACTTTCTTCAAATAGTTTCATATTAAAATAGCTTACTGAACATGATCAAAATGCCTATAACTCTTAGAAAGTATCCATACATATGTGATTATTTTATAGCTATAATATTGTTAAAAACTATGTAGGGGCTGGAGCGATAGCAAAGAGGATAGGGCGTTTGCCTTGCACGCGACCAACCCGGGTTCAATACCCAGCATCCCATATGGTCCCCTGAGCACTGCCAGGAGTAATTCCTGAGTGCATGAGCCAGGAGTAACCCCTGTGCATTGTCGGGTGTGACCCCCAAAAATAAATAAATATGTAAAAGTAAAGAAGAAGTGTCAGACATTCATTAAGTTTATGATTTCTGTGAAAGTCTTATCTCAGGATAGAATTTTTTTTTTTAAAGCAAAAACCCTTATGTAGCTTGTGGGCATTATTAGGTGACAGCTGATTAATAAGTCTAGAGACAAAATACACAATAGCTAGCAGGAACAAAATTGCTGTTCCTTTTGCTGTCTTTTTGTTCCTATAGCTTTGTCATCATGACATGGTTTTCTCTATTCGTTTATCCAATTACTTGTATGTTAGAGACTTTCAAATAGGCCAAATGTCGTCTACTTAGTTCTTCAAATGCAGTGTATATAAAATTGAATTTGTGGGTCTGGGATGTGGTTCAGTGATAGAGACCATGCCTCACTTGTGTGAGGTCTGGATTTGATCCCTGGTACAAGGGGCTGGAGGACTGGGAGATGTTACTTCATCTCTCTTTATTTTTTCATCACCATTTAACCCCTTTAGGACATGTCATCTTTTGATTGTCGCCTTTATCCCCCATATGATTGATTAAAAAGTCTAGTCTGGAACCTGGTGACATAGCTTAGTAATATTTTGCCTGCTTTGCCTGTGTGAGACTGAGGGTTTGATTCCTGGCACCACCCCAAATCACCAAATGCAACCCTAGGTTCTGCTGACCTGATTTCCAGCACCACAGTGCATTCCCCCATGTACCACAACAAAGTGTATATGGACCCTGGGAACATGTAGCAAGTGCACTACAAAGCTGAAACTGTATAACAACAAAAAAGATGAGAAGGGAAAGGAGAAAGTTCAGTTGATAGTTTTACTGAGAAATAACTCCTTAGTTTCTCCTTTGTTTCTGTTGCCCATCTTCTGATCAGTGTCTCCTAAGTAGTATTTGAATTTCTTTGTAACCTCTATTGTTTTTTTTCCTAACACAAATCTAATGTTCTTACTTCCTTTTTCCTATTACAAACCTGTTAGACAAAACATCTGCTCTTTTAGCTTTTGTTTTTTCTTGTGATTTTTCTTCAATTTGGCGAGTTCTCATTTACATTACATTTATATCAGTACTATCCCACCAGTGTTATGATGGCTCATGCTAGTAGATGTCATGAGGCAGAGCTGCGGTCTATCTTTTCCACCTTGAAACTGAGAATGGCTTGGTTTTTCAACTTTGGTACTATTGGTAATTCTTTTTAGAATTTTTTTTTTTTAAGACACCACACCCAGCAATGCTAGAGGTTCCTGGAAGCCACCAAAGCTGCACCTGGTGGTTCTTGGGAGGCCATTTGTTGTTGACATCAAATACAGGTGATTTACAACCTTGAGCCATATCCCCAGAGCCACTGTAGGCAAAATTTATTGGATACATTTTTGTGTTGGGAGGCCATCATTGTGTTGCGGGAGCTTTAGCAGTAACCCTAGTCTTTTCCGACTAGATAATCAGTAATAGTACCCTCTCTCCCATCTCCCCATTTTAGTAATGACCATCAGAAATGTCTCCAGACATTAACAAACTTTCTTTGGAAGACACATGCTCAGTCAGAACCATTTGTTCTGGTTGAGAATGATGTGTAGTCATCTGACTTTGATCAGTCAGTTAGCAGACCTGACAGTTACACTTTAAAAGCCTGTGCATTGACAATCCTGACTTTCATTTAAGCTCATATTAAGATAAAGCCTTCCTTTAAAGCTGACAGTGGGCTGTTTTCTTATTTTATCATGATGCACATACGAATTAAGCAGGAAAAAAGCCTTCAAAATAAAGTTTGGAGAGTGGTTGTCACTGCAGTGTAGTCGAGTTCAGTCTGAATATCTATCGTGCTAAGATAGCCTACTTGTTTACTTTCTATGCTTTTTTATTTAAAGTCGTAAATCACTGTTAGTGCATACCTCTTTGGGTATTTATGACAGTGTAGTAATACGCATGGGACTAGCTTCATCAGTGATTCTCGGAGTAAATGCTACTCTCTGAGAGCTATTGTGGAACAGGAGGGAAAAACTTTGGTGGACAAAGGTCAGAGATGCCACTCTGCGCTATGAGGGATTGTCAAGAATTATTCCAACAGCATTTTCAAATGCTCCAGAAATTCATGTAGATGGAAAACAAAATTAGTTTAGAACCTAACTCCATATTATATTTTCCCAGATGTCTTAAAGTTTTATTTGGAATTGTGTGAGAGTTGGCTGTGTTTAGAAAATCCAGGTTTCCAACTGCAGTGCCATTGTGCTTTATGAGTTGCTGAAACAACATCTGTCTTGGAAAACCTTGAGTTTGTAGCTTCATATTTGTGATGTTACCAATCTATAATTCATAAGAATTATTTGTTACGAAAATGGAATGAGAGAGGTTTTTTGGGGGGGTGAGAAGAGGGGTGACTGCCAAGCAATACTCAGGATATCTAGTGGCCACTCCTAGTGATTTTCTACCTACCTGCCTAAAACTTAGGTGCTGGAACCTGTGTTAGTAATACTGTTTGGGCTCTGCTGTGCTGAGGATTGATACAGAGATCACCCTAGTGGTACTTGGGGGCTTCCAAGACTAGGCTTGGTGTGCTCAGGTTCCATGCAGTTCCCGTGCCAGCCACAAGTAAGGTGTGAGTACCCCAGTACTCTTTTTTCATTTCTCTGATAGATTATTTGTGTGTTTCTGATCCCTTAGTGTTTTGTTTATAGTAGATGCATTTTTAACAGAATTGGTTAATTTATGATTCCTTAATTGATATTAATGTTTTAGTTATATTTGATTGTTTTTACAGTGTTTGTAAAGTTGGCAAGACAGATACTGTTTCCATTTTTTATAGAAGAGAGTTGAGAGAGATGTTACTTTTCCCAGTCATTCTGCTGTAGCTTTAACTAGAACACACTGGTTTTGGGTATGGTCTTGGAAGTATTATATTTATGAAACCCTACCATTGATAGTATTATAAAATTATAAATTGAAGTTGCCCAAATAAATCCAAAAACTGAAGAAAAAAACACACATAAAATTTGTATTTAATGTAGTGTTATTGTCTACTACCATTCCATACCACTCTTTTAAAAGTTAAAATCTAGACCTACTTAATGTAAGAAAACAATTAAATACCCTTGCTTGTATGTATTTTTAAATACAGAATCCTATTTCATTATGTTTTAGGCACTTGTGCTCATAGGGATTCTGGAAAGGTAAACATAAGAAACCTGTCCTTATTATAGAAAGTAAGAACAAACCAAAAAAGAAAGAAAAGAACAGGGACCTCGGGATGATTTCGTGGCAAAAGGGCAAAGGTGGTGAGTTTAATCCTTGTGTTTGCCCACAGGGGCGAAGCATGGCCCTGAGGCTGCGGTTTGCAACCCCTGGCGCTGCACCAGAGAATGTCATCTGCAGAACACCATAGCCAGCTGTGTGCAAGCTCTACAACCATAAGAGGAGCAAACACTGAGGCCAGTGTTTGATCCTGGCTGAGTCCTAGGACCAGAATATGTATAAACACCCCAACTTTAAGTGTTTGGTCCCGGAGATACTTCAATTATGTGTGCAAGCACCACAATCAGTGCGCAACTCCTTGTCATTACAGTGAGAGGGCATTTTCATTAGTTATCAGAGAAATCTGCAATTAGGACAACTTCCGAAATGAATACAAGGCTCCCAAAGATCTTTAATTTGGGGCGCTGAAGTGATAGTATAGTGGATAAAGTGCTTGCCTTGTAGGCCGCCAACTCGAGGTTTGATCCCTGACACCACATATGGTCTCCCAGCTTGCCTATCCAGATGTAATCCCAAAGCAAAACAAAAAGCCATCTTAAATTTTAGAAATAATAACATCTGGTAAGATTGTAGTAAAATAGTTACACACGAAAACTTTAATTGCTTTATAAATTGGTATAGCTTTTTGGAATATAATAACTAAATTTAGTCATAGAAGTATTTGTATTCTTCGGATTTTGAAGCAGGAGATCTTGAGATCAGAATCCTTAAAGTACGCTGAAGAAAATATTGGCAGAGCACTGCGCCAAGATTTGCACCTCAAAGGTGTCTTCAGTGATTGAAAACATTCATTGGCAAAGGCAACAGAAACAAACAACCCCCCCAAATGACACTTTTGCAATGCGAAAGAAACACAAGCTGAAACTAGAAGACATCCAACTGAATGGGAGAAAATATTTGCTCTCAACAAATCAGATTAAAAGTCTTACAATATCCAAGATATATAAAGAACTCAAAAAGATCAAGCACATTCAAAACCTTGTCAAATAATGGAGAGAGGAAATGAAAGGAACTCTTTTCTGAAGAAGACAGACAGATGGCCAATAAGCATATGAAAAAGTGCTCATCTTCACTTAATTATCAGGGAAATCCAAATCAAGACAACAGTGAGATATCTCACACCAGTGAGAATGGCACATACCAAAAATACTTGGGAACAGTCTGTGTTGGTAGGGA